GAGGAGGGGCCGAGGACTCGGTAGCCCTGGCGCGGAGCCCGGCGCTCGTCCTCACGCCTCACCAGGTCGCAGCAGACAGGCCGAGTCCTCGTAACACTGAGGCGGGGCGGTCTCCAGGTCCCAGCAGTGGGAAACGCGCCCCAGAAGCTGAGGCCCCGCCCGGGGACAGGGGTCGTGCGTGAATTCAGTGCCGGTGAAGCACAACCGCAGAGGTGGTTTAGCCCTGGACCCTGCCTTCTAGTCCTGCAGCCTCAGCGACCGAGGGGCGCCGCGTGACCGGCGAAGGTCCCCGGCCAAGGACTCGCTTGGCCGGTCTGTGGCTCTCAGTCGTCCGTGCTTTTAACGGATAATAAGCAAACTCCGCGGGCTGGCTTTGGTTTGGGGTTTTGTTTGAGAAATGCTTTGTAAACAATGAAGCTTTATCCCGAAACCGGAAGGCACTTTAGCTGCCATAAGGAGGGAGGAGCTCCCACGCCCACATGCACCCCTGCAGTCGGGACTCTCCTCACTTCACTGTGTGTTTCTTAACAGATCACCACACACCTCGTAACTTCATAGAGGCCACAATTTGAACCCAAGGGGCCAGTGTTATCTTTAGAGGAATCTTGTGGGGAAGTGTGTCCAGGGTGCTTTCAGTTCCTCAGAGTCCGAACCTGCTTCGGTGTGGGCTACAAGGCAGCTCGTCTCCTTTTGTCTGATGGTTTTAATGCATAGAAGGGAGTTCCAGAGATTATCTCCCAGGGTTTGGATGGGCTGAGGAATGCATGCTTTTTCTTTTTCTTTTTTTTTTTTTTTTTGATGGGGGGGGCTTTGAGATAGGGTCTCACTATGTAGTTGAGGCTGACCTGGAGCTCACTATGTAGCCCAGGCTGGGCTGGGCTGGAACTCACAGCGATCCTCCTGCCTCAGCCACCTGAGTGCTGGGTTTATAGGCTCCTTAGTGGTGGGATTACAGGCGTGTGACACCATGCCCAGTTGAAGAGCTTAATTTTAAATTAAGCACCATGCCAGGTGCAAGCTTTTTCTTTAGATTAAAGGAGCAGTGCCCCCACACACAAAAACAAGCCATGCTTTGATGTCTCCCTGAGCCCCAGTAAAAACAGTGGTCTGTGACAAGTCTCTTCTATTGATGTGAGTTTAAGCTTCCACGTAGATAAAACAGTGAGGGGATAGAAGGCCATAGTGTTCCCTTTTTAGGAGATGTGGTCTTCAGGTCTATATTGAAATTTAAGAGAAAAACTTCTAGCACCTGCTGATTTCCAATTTAAAATAGCCAGGGGCTGGGCTGGGGATTTAGCTCAGTGGTTCTGCCACCTGCCTCGAAAGTGCAAGGACCTGAGTTAAATACCCAGTACTGAAAAAAAAAAAAAATCCCTTAAAATTGGGCCAGGGATTTAGCTCAGTGTGGGTTTGAATTTAATTTCCAGTCTCCCTGCCTTAGCCTCTTAGAGTGCTGGGATTATGGGTGTGCATCATCATACCTGGCTTGGGGGGGGGTATTAAATCCCCAGTCCTGTATTTTAGAGTAGTTTTGTTTTTGTTTTTTGTTTTTTGTTTTTTGTTTTGGGGGGTCGAACTCGAACTCGGGTCCTTGTGCTTGCAAGACAGGTTCTAATCCACTGAGCTAAATCCCCAGCCCCTCAGTCCAAATTTTAAAGAAAGATCACCAAAGACCGAAATCCCCACCACAGCATTTGATATCTCTAGAAAAGGCAGGGGGGCAGCCAGGGATTTAGTTCAGTGCCATACCTGCCTCACAAGTGCAAGGTCCTGAGTTCAATCTACAGTTACCAAAACAAAAGGGGGGGTGCAGAGAGACGATGCCAGAGGGTAATAAAACAGGAATAATAAAAATGTTGGTAAACATTTCCGTAAAAACACTGCGCAGAACCTGGGAAACGTAATGACTTTATACCTGGCTCAAAATAAATGTAAAAGGGCCTCGGTGAATTAAAAAGCTCAGTGTAAAGACCTTGTGCTCAATCTCCAGTTTAAAAAAAAAAAAATGAAAAAAGAGCCAGGGATTTAGCCCAGTGGCATGGTGCCTGCCTCACCAGCGCAAGGTCCTGAGCTCGATCCCCAGTACAGAGAAACAAAAGGAAACAAGAGCCGGGAATGTAGCTCAGGGGTACAGCGCCTGCCTGCAAGTGTGAGGTCCTGAGTTCAATCCCTGTTACCAAAGCCAGGGAGGGGAAAAGAAAAAGAAACTGGGCTGGGCATGGTGGCACACACCTGTCATCCCAGCACTCTGGAGACTGAGGCAGGAAGGATTGCTGTGAGTTTGGGGCCAGCCTGGGCTACATAGTTCAACACCATATCAAAACCTGTCTCAAAAAAAAGAGAAGGATAAAGAAGGAAGAAGGAGAGAGAGAGAGAGGGAAGGAAGAAAAGAAAAGAAAGAGCTTGCTCACTCACATATCTTCTTAGAAAGTTTCAGTTATTTCATCCTCAGTGCATTCCTTGCATAATCTGTTGTAGCAAATATTAACTCACAGTGTTGCAGCTCTAGGTGGTCGTTGGAGACAGTTTTATTTCGCTAGTGGACGGATCAGGGATTTCTCCACAAAGTGATCAGCTGCAGCTTGGGGGTGAACAGGAGGGATAAGGGTACAGCAGCAAGACACTGAACATTAGTTCATTGGTTGAGGTAGATACTTTGCATGTGTCTGTGTGTGTGTGTGTGTGTGTGTGTGGTACCGGGGATTGAACTTGGGACCTTGTGCTTGCAAGGCAGGCACGGTGCCACTGAGCTACATCCCCAGCCCCAGGTAGATACACTCAGCTTATACAACTGGACAGAAAGGTACACTAGGATTTACCTTATTTACGTATGGCCGGAAGCAGAGATCACGGAAACCCTGCGGAGAACAAAGGACAGGGGAGGAAAACACGTCCAGCGACTGTTCAGTGAGACTCAGGTGTACCTGTTTTCGGTGGGGCGGGGTCAGAGCTAGAAGGAGCTGTTTGTTCGCTACCCAGTTAGCCGCAGCACTGGCTCCTTCTGGTCAGAAATAATTTCCCTGCTCAGATCGACTCAAGGAAACCCAAACAGGCTGCCCCAGAATATGCCAATTGGGCTACTGAGTTTTTCCAGCTGAAGAAACAGGAGTGTCATGAAGGACCATCAGAGCTGAGCATCCCTTTTAGGATAAGATGCCTGCCCTAAAACAAGAAAAAATGGTAACTGTTGTGCCGGGGTCCAGCCTTGGCGAGAGTTCAGGTCCTGAGGACGAGGTTGGAGTCAGCGCTTGTGAAGGAATGAGACTCACTCCGTAGGCACGAGGTGCTGTGCCTTCCCAGCGTCGGAGGACGTCTTTGTTTATATCACACAGTAAAGGTTGCATACGGAAATTGGCATACGTTTACAATTTCTGGATAAGAACTTAAGATCATTTTCCTGGTAAACTACAGCACATACCTATTCTATTATTTTTTTTCTGGGAACATTTTATCTATTGCCTCATCTGGTATTAACCAAACAATTTCCTAGTAAAAGCATAAATAAAAGCAAAATCAAAAGAACAATCTGAGCTTGCCACCATTTTTCAAAGTTCATACGTCTATGTTGGCTATAATGGAAAGACTGCGGCCAACTCTTAGCAGGTCACTAGGTTTTAATAAAGAACTACTGTGGTTAACCAACTTCTTGATTAAACTTTTATTTTACATAGAAAGCAAGTATTTTGCACTTAAACCTTTCTATAATAACTTTCAGCTACCCTAGTGCGTAGACATCACTGTGTTCCTGAACATTTCATTCTTTTTGCAAAGGGAAAATCTTGGTATCTTACTCATTTTTCATCTTTCCACACCATTCTGACTCCATCTCTGTAAGCCCCAGTGTAGGAAACGGGGGTTTGCCTAGTGGCCACGAGATCACTCCTCCACAAATCTTTGAGCACCTTTCTGAGATCCCTATAAGTAATTGGACGCTCGGAAGAAAGCCTCAATTATTGAAAAACTGGAAACCCTTCAAAGAAAGTCCCGGGATCAGGGGTCGTGCTTAGGGGTTCAATAACTGACACATATTTCTCAGAAGTAGCTTGTACAGGTTTCCTCATTAAAACTAAATCTCCCATAATGACAATTGAGCCAATCAAAAGTGCAAGCAAAAATAAAAGCTGGAGCGATGCCTTCAACCCGAGGCCCGTCATAGCTGGAACTTTGTCAAGCAGCAATAGAGGAACTGGGGTCCTCACCACTGTTGGGTCAGGGATTTAGCTCAGCCGTTCCACCACCTGCCTTGCAAGCGCAAGGTCCCAAATTCGATCCCTGGCACCAAAACAAATGAACAAACAAAAAACAACTGTTATCAGCTCAGATATGCTATCAGTGGAAGCTACAAGTTTACTCCAACAGTTTCTCCGGACATGTTTACCTCCCCACAGCTTCCTAGACACCTAGAACTGATTTCCTTTGTCCTGCCATTTTTTAAAGTGTATGCTCTGTTCAAAATGCCTAGAGTTCTAAGCCCCTGCTGTGAGCTTTCTTTGATGTTTCTGCCTCATGATGTGTGCTGCATGTATTAATAAGCTGCGTGTTTTTTCTCTTGTTAATCTGTCTTTATGGAGTGTGATTTTTAGGAAGAGATTAGATTATAAGGGTGCTGC